CCCCCCCCCCCCCCCACCCCAAAAAAAAAAAAGGGAGCAGGTAGGAGATGGGATGATAAAAATCATTCATCTTTATCATGAATAATATTATCAAGCATACAGAATTTCTATTCCTTTTTGAAACTTCATTTCTTCACTAATATAACCCCCATCATATAAACTTCATGGTAACTAAAAGACTATAGAACAAAGTATGCACACCCAGAAAGTTGCAAAGGGATTTCAAAACTCTGCAAAAATAAGAGAAGTCAAGATAACAGATAATGAATCAGTAGCACCATAGCAGCCTTAAGATCAAAAGAGAATAATTATCTCAAGCGCTGCATTATACACTCTCAGATAATTAGGCATGGGATGCAAAACGGTGCTTCTCTATGGTAGACCGTAGGTATAACCAATATTTCACATTTGATATGAATAAGTATTAAGATACAAACAATATCAGTTCCTTGGCTCTACTTTTAACAGCTTGTGTTCCTCTGCTTTATTGCACAATGGATAAAGAAAGAATTTGCTTTCTGTACCTTAGGATGCAATAGGCCAATCCTCGACGAAGTGCTGACAACTTCAACATGCAGTTTGTCATTTGTGGGAGGCTCTTCCAACATGAATGTAAACTCTTCTTCCCATCTTGGATCTCTATTCTTCTTCACATGCTGCACCAGAGGAAGTCACTGTCACTTTAGTGGCCACATGAGCAACAAAAGACATGATCAACAAATTTAACTACGTCAATCCCCCTGAAGTCACTATATTAAGTACCTCCCGAAGAATAGGAATTTTATTTAAGTGGTTCAGGGCACAAAATTTACATTAATATAGCAGTTCCTCCGACTGATTACATGAAATCACATGGGAAAAATAGATTACCTATAAGGCAAAGAGTCACAAACCATATTTCAATAGAACTAGTGATCCTTATCTTTATGCCAAATTTCATTGCCCAAAATTGTTTTCAACTAAAACTTTTACGCCTAGAACAAAGGTAACAAAAAATAGAAGAACAAGAAAAAAGAAAAGAGTGATGCTCTTGCTAATGATATAACCTTAGTTTTTCTCTCTTCCCCTCTGAAGAGGATTCGTACGAATGGATTAGTGTGGTGCTTTCCTTCAACATCTTGAGCTTCATGAACTATAACCACAAGCAGACCTCCCCCATCAGGTGTTCCTTCAGGAGCCTTTACTGTGGTACCTGAATCTTCAAAATCTTTTGGCATATCCTCCTCCTTCAAAGGTTTGTATGTCAATTCAACCATAAGCTGCCCACGAGACTTCTCATTTTGAACATCATTTGCATCCATGTTCTTAAGCAGATCTAGTGTCCAAACTTTTGGCTCATCAGGCGTTAGTTCCTTCAAAGGAATAACATTCATACCCATCTTCTCATCTTTGCCAAACTGTAAAAAGGATAGACAGCTTGAGGTACACAACATGAATGACACTGCAGAACTTCAAACCTGTAAACTAGAACCACATACCTGCTCCCAATCATAAACAAGTAGCTCTAAAGCTTGGGATTCTGGATCTTTAACAACCATATTAAACTCCTCATTCCATTCAGGGTTCAAGTTCTTTTGCTTCACTGTAGTCTTTTTTGATGGCAACTTATCCTCAGTGAGTTTTAGTTTTACATACGGATCTGATGCACCCAATAGATCTTTCTTTTTCAGCTTTATAGCCCTCAAGACCTTCACATGAAGAATTCCAACAGGCCTCCNCGGTAGTCTTTTTTGATGGCAACTTATCCTCAGTGAGTTTTAGTTTTACATACGGATCTGATGCACCCAATAGATCTTCCTTTTTCAGCTTTATAGCCCTCAAGACCTTCACATGAAGAATTCCAACAGGCCTCCTCATGGCTCTGCAAATTCATGAATAAAGGTCTGGCAATCATGAAGATAAGCCATAAGACATATAAATTCCAAGTAGCAAAGGAGGCATACTTAGATGTATCCATAATTGGTACTTCAAGGGTTCTAGGCCACAGATACATGTTGGCAACCTGATCTTTAATAAGCTCCTGCAGAAATAAAGCATTTGTGAATGTTAAAGCTTAAGAGCTGCTATGAGCCAATTGCAACTGAGCAGCCAATTGCAATTGGACCCAGTTATCAAGCTGCCTCTTTGAGAGAAGAGGCAAAATAGACAATAAACCGATGCAACACTAAAACTCTAGACCTCGTGACCGGAAATTCACAAACTGCATCTAAATCTAGAATGCATTCCGTAGCAGCAATTTCCATCATTTTCAAACAGCAGAAGAAAGTGCATGCTAGAACTCTATAAGCTGCAAAAGGCTGGCGTTAAAAACTTATAGAGATATATGTTAAGAGTTAGAGTTGAATAAGAGTGGCAGAAATAGAGTAGGATTTTGGTGAGAGAACCAACATTTGTGGGGACTATTTAATGGTTTAAATCTAAAGCGAAAAGACATCATAGTCTTCATTGTTAACTTCCTAGAAGATAAGATGTATAAGCAGAATAAGAAAGAGAAGAAAACCAAAAAGAGGCAGAAAGCAATTACAATCTCTTGAACCAACCTTGCCTTAAAATGGATGATTCCATTGGGCCATTCTAAAAAATTTATCTCAGTATTTGTCTAATGGATGTGAGATAAGGACTACATGTGTTTATGAGGATTTGTTAGACACTCTAATAGACTCACTTACCTTCTATTTAAAAAAAGAAATATATCAATTATCTTTTGCAAAGGCTATACAAAGCCCTTTAGAGTTTATAGAACTCAATTCTAATAACAATAAGGCCTATTCTTTAAATGAGATTAATCCAACACCTCAATTCAAACTTAACAAGAAGACAAATGTAACTCACTAAATTAAAAAGACTGTTATAAAAGAACTTCCCACTTTAAATTGTAGAAGATACTGAAAATTTTAACGGATATGAACCAAAATTTATCCAGCTAACACCTAAAACTACCATGAGCACCTTTCTCAAGCCGCAATTACTTAATTAAAATAGGGCCCAAAGCAAAGGATCAAAATTTCATCCTAGTGCATTATTTCAGTCACCTAGGAAACGGAATCGTTTAAATGCGTTTCGGAAACGTTTCGATCCATTTCGAAATCATAATAAAAAAAAATTAAAAATTTAAGAATTATTTTTCCAAAATATTGGTCTAATTATATCAAATTATCTTGAAATATCTTGTAACATTTTGAAATAATTGTCAACATAAAAGTGCTCACTAGGGATTTTTAGGCTGACCTTGGGGGACAAAGCATCCAAGTTCTGACTCTCAACACACATGCTTTCAAGACGATGAAATTTTAAATAAAATAATGTCTGCTCTTCTAAGTATAATTACGGCCCCAATATCATCAAATTCATCAGATACATGTGGCACAATCAGTCTGGACCCATACATTTAAGCGAACAGAATAGTAAATTATCTCCCCTCTATGATAAGTATAATGAATATGGCTAGAAATCCCCAAAAGAAAAAGAACACAGATTTCATCCAGTAGACATAAGAGTTATGACAGCTGGTGGAACATAAGATGAGAAAAGAGAGAAAGAGAGAACTGGGTGAAATCTTCGTTCTCTAAATCAGAAATTCAGATGCTGGCGTGGAATCTAAAATACCTCAGAGCCAAGCAGCTATAGCTACTGAGAATACCCAAATTCTGTAGAGTAACTTAAAGGATGACAGAAGACCATAATTCAATCAATTCTGTTTCAAACTAGATAACTTTTTTGATGCAATTCCATGAGTGCGATCAAAGCTAAGCTATCTCTAAAACATCACATGGTTCAGACATTTGCCTCCAAAGCCAACCTCGCACATGCGTATAACACAAATTCCTACCCAGAGAGAACCTTTGAAAAAAAAAAAAACAAATTTACCTGGACAAACCTGTACAGGCCAGGAATTGACATAAGATCAGCCCCCAAAAGCTTAAGTCCAAAATCAACATGTGGCTGCAAAATCACAGACAAGTGATTAAGAAGAACCACACTTAATATACAATACTCCAACAACTTTGTACAGTCAAACATCTCATGTGAGAAAACTAAAAGTTCCCACCAGCTCATGGGCATCCGAAACAAAGTTGGCTGTAAATAGTATCAAAAGGTCAAGGAAAATGTAAGGCTCGGATTGTAGTGCTTCAAAATCACAGTGAAGAGACTTCTTTTGATCAAATGGCAACAATGCTAAAGACGCAGCCACAAGAAAGCAAATTTGAATAGTCAGGGTATGTATCCACCAACTAGAGCACCAAATAATTGCATGATTATAAAGATAGCCATGACCACAAACCTTCTCCATGAGCGAGACAAAAATGTTGGCAAAACAAGGAAAACTAGGAACCAAAGGCTTTAAGGTGATACGGGGTGCAGCAAAGACTTGCAAATCCACCACCTAAAATAATAAATCAAATTAGTTATTCAATTACTACTTAGCACATGAAATGGAACTTCCATGTGTGCATTTGTGCATGGAAAAAGGATCAACTGTTGTACTTCAAAAACAACAAGAGATGCCAATAACCTGAACTGTTGCTTTCAACCCAAATGCTCTGACAGCAACAGTGATATTAGGATTTCCAGCCCACTTCAAGGATGGTTCCATTATTAACTCCTTCTCTTCAGTAGCATAGACTTTCATACCTGACAAAAATAACAGTTGCGCTGAAAAATGAGACCAATTTTTCAAAACATCCTACGAAAATTTTTCCCTCCATATATATATTAAGTGTCCAACCTAATATTCCGAACTATGCATTCATCATCTGGAAAAGTGAAAATACAAACATATGTAGGAAGAGTAATCAATGGACAGTAACCACAAAATGTCTCGATCAACAAAGTAGTTCCTCAGTCATTAATACGACTAAGAGGCAAAAGGGACAAGCAAATTTTGAAGGAGGTAAAACCATCTGGTTGATATCATCAATGACAAGTCAACAAGTAAAACAAATAATTGAAGACTGAAAAATCTCCCAACACCAGAAAGTTTTAATGAGATAAACCCACTTTAGTTAATAACATCAATGGCACGGCAACGCGGAGAAATATCAACTTCTGAAGACCAAAACATTCCCAGCCCAAGAAGTTATCATAGCAGAGAGCAGCTATTAGTTCAAGTCACATTGAATAAATAGAGTACAAGACAGAAATAAATGCTGAATTTTGAACTGAAGACCAACAATGATCTTAAAAATAGCTTTCAAAGTTAATAGTACTTAAAAACATCAAAACACAAGTTTCACCCATTAATCTTCTGAATGTAAAAAGAAAAATCCATGGCTTGGAGGCCTAGCCAGTCAAAAATATCGCATCACTTTNTCTCCACTCAACTAGGGAAGCTTTCAAAGTTAATAGTACTTAAAAACATCAAAACACAAGTTTCACCCATTAATCTTCTGAATGTAAAAAGAAAAATCCATGGCTTGGAGGCCTAGCCAGTCAAAAATATCGCATCACTTTGTAGATTAGGTTAGCATGTGATCAAAAATATAGAATTGAAGTTACTACATAAAATAGTGTCCTTTCTTTTCAAATACAATCACAATAGTTTTTTAGGAAACCAATAGCTTACGACACCAATAATGTAAAAGATGGATGCTGAAAAGCAGCCTTGATATATACTTTTACAAATATGGAAGTGANCAAACCTCGCACATGCGTATAACACAAATTCCTACACAGAGAGAACCTTTGAAAAAAAAAAAACAAATTTACCTGGACAAACCTGTACAGGCCAGGAATTGACATAANCCAACCTCGCACATGCGTATAACACAAATTCCTACCCAGAGAGAACCTTTGAAAAAAAAAAAAACAAATTTACCTGGACAAACCTGTACAGGCCAGGAATTGACATAAGATCAGCCCCCAAAAGCTTAAGTCCAAAATCAACATGTGGCTGCAAAATCACAGACAAGTGATTAAGAAGAACCACACTTAATATACAATACTCCAACAACTTTGTACAGTCAAACATCTCATGTGAGAAAACTAAAAGTTCCCACCAGCTCATGGGCATCCGAAACAAAGTTGGCTGTAAATAGTATCAAAAGGTCAAGGAAAATGTAAGGCTCGGATTGTAGTGCTTCAAAATCACAGTGAAGAGACTTCTTTTGATCAAATGGCAACAATGCTAAAGACGCAGCCACAAGAAAGCAAATTTGAATAGTCAGGGTATGTATCCACCAACTAGAGCACCAAATAATTGCATGATTATAAAGATAGCCATGACCACAAACCTTCTCCATGAGCGAGACAAAAATGTTGGCAAAACAAGGAAAACTAGGAACCAAAGGCTTTAAGGTGATACGGGGTGCAGCAAAGACTTGCAAATCCACCACCTAAAATAATAAATCAAATTAGTTATTCAATTACTACTTAGCACATGAAATGGAACTTCCATGTGTGCATTTGTGCATGGAAAAAGGATCAACTGTTGTACTTCAAAAACAACAAGAGATGCCAATAACCTGAACTGTTGCTTTCAACCCAAATGCTCTGACAGCAACAGTGATATTAGGATTTCCAGCCCACTTCAAGGATGGTTCCATTATTAACTCCTTCTCTTCAGTAGCATAGACTTTCATACCTGACAAAAATAACAGTTGCGCTGAAAAATGAGACCAATTTTTCAAAACATCCTACGAAAATTTTTCCCTCCATATATATATTAAGTGTCCAACCTAATATTCCGAACTATGCATTCATCATCTGGAAAAGTGAAAATACAAACATATGTAGGAAGAGTAATCAATGGACAGTAACCACAAAATGTCTCGATCAACAAAGTAGTTCCTCAGTCATTAATACGACTAAGAGGCAAAAGGGACAAGCAAATTTTGAAGGAGGTAAAACCATCTGGTTGATATCATCAATGACAAGTCAACAAGTAAAACAAATAATTGAAGACTGAAAAATCTCCCAACACCAGAAAGTTTTAATGAGATAAACCCACTTTAGTTAATAACATCAATGGCACGGCAACGCGGAGAAATATCAACTTCTGAAGACCAAAACATTCCCAGCCCAAGAAGTTATCATAGCAGAGAGCAGCTATTAGTTCAAGTCACATTGAATAAATAGAGTACAAGACAGAAATAAATGCTGAATTTTGAACTGAAGACCAACAATGATCTTAAAAATAGCTTTCAAAGTTAATAGTACTTAAAAACATCAAAACACAAGTTTCACCCATTAATCTTCTGAATGTAAAAAGAAAAATCCATGGCTTGGAGGCCTAGCCAGTCAAAAATATCGCATCACTTTGTAGATTAGGTTAGCATGTGATCAAAAATATAGAATTGAAGTTACTACATAAAATAGTGTCCTTTCTTTTCAAATACAATCACAATAGTTTTTTAGGAAACCAATAGCTTACGACACCAATAATGTAAAAGATGGATGCTGAAAAGCAGCCTTGATATATACTTTTACAAATATGGAAGTGAAATAATGGCAGTACCAAGATAACAACATGAGTTCTCATGAAGAATAAAATGTCCTAAACTACGAGAGAAGATAATGACAAGATGAAACTAATAACCAGCATTCACTAACCTTGGAAAGTAGGTGGTAGCGACCCTAAAGTAAGTGCTTCAAATTCAACAGATTCAACTTTATACTTTGGAATTTGTTCAGCAATAATGGGTGCTGCAATATTCTTTGCAGTCTTGCAAATTGCCTATGAGGAGAAAGTTGAGCCACAAAACGCAAAACTTAAAGATAAAGTACTAATTGGTGACCAATAAATACAATCAATCATAGTTACAGATGGAAAATACCTTGTCCAAATATGGCCACATATATTCAATGAACTTGTTCAGCCAATCAACCTTTAACCGGAAAGAGAAAAAATAATGGAAATGCTCAGAGCACTGTAGTCAAGAACCAGGAACCAAACAGTGTCAAAAGGCAATACAATGACCAAAAATACATACACGATCATAATCTGGACATTTAACCCAAACAGGTATCTCAGGAAGTAACCGCTGCAAGCTTTGAGAGTCATGCTCAACCAACGGGCGAATGACAGGATCCTAATCAAGCAAATAGTTAAGCATGATTAGAAAAATCATACGTAAACATGCTTGAAACAAAAAGTAGCTAACCGTTAAATTTCTTCTAAATTGCAGGGATCTGATTCTTTTCCCTTTTCATCTGGCCATTATTTTCCTGCCATGTCTAGCTATTTATCTTAGAAAAGAAAATCAAATTTCATTTCGTACTGATGCATCCTCCCTCTCTGGCTCCTTCACTTATTTACTATCTAGTGTATAATTCCATGCCACTGAATAATAACCCCATTCAGCCATCATAAATTGCCATCAAACCAACTGTAAGAACAATGATAAATCACAGACAAAAAGGAACGAATGTACTTCAACAGAGAAACTAGTTACTAAGCTTTGCCTTCTCTTTCTCTAATTCTTTCAGAGAAATAGTCAAGGAAACCTCAGACGCTACTAAACTATTGATGGTTCTTTCTGCCCCTTAAATTTTACACATGCCCTCTCTCTTTATCATATGCGTCACTAAATCAGCTAAATAATCAACAGATAAAGGCACCCAATGAATAACAATGATCACATTTGTGTACCCAAATTCCCACGACCACGTTTGGTCTCAAATACTCCCAATCAAAGCACAAAGACGAGGAAAATTGATATCAATTCATGCAATGCGTGTATGGAGAGAGAGACACCTTAACATCGCTGGGTTGGAAGTAGATGAAGAGGTAATACCCAATCGTGAGACCAGCAGAAACCCCGACTCCAAATCCAGTGAATCCGAGTACAGTACTGATCAATCCCATCTTCAGTTTCCTTCGAACTCACACCAATCTTCACTTCTTTCCTTCAAACTTCCCAGAAACGAAATCAACTCTGAAAAACAATTCCCCTTTGTCTTTCCACCTCATTCACCTATACGTTCCCACTCAAATCCAAATCAACAAATTTCAGAAAACCCATTTCAAATCTCCGCGATTCCTCCTCAAATCCCCGACTCTCACTGCGTATTACGAAGGTTGGATAAGGAAATAGTCTACAAACAGAATGACTCAAATGTCTAAACAGAATGACTCAAATGTCTTTTTAATTGGATCTTGGACAGTGAAGAGATGAACGATGGGCTTTGTTTATTACTGTGTCTGAGAGTGACCGAGAAGAGACAGAGAGCGACGGGCAGATTGGAGGATACCCACCTTTCAAGCGAAACACGTCATTCTTTGCTCAGCATTTGGGCCATCGACCTGGGCCCACGGAGAGATGATCAGATGTGGTCAAGTACAACGACGTTAAGACGTGGCGGAGTGTCAGGGGAGACAAAAACGGTTTCCTTGTATCTTCCACTTCCGGCCACTGTCACTGCAGTAGTTTTTCCAATGAGTTGATCACTGCCATCCTTTTTATTTAGGTAANACAAAAACGGTTTCCTTGTATCTTCCACTTCCGGCCACTGTCACTGCAGTAGTTTTTCCAATGAGTTGATCACTGCCATCCTTTTTATTTAGGTAACTCTAAGTTTGATCAACAATTTAAAAATTATATTTGATAATCACAGCTATTTAATAGGTAGTGAATCCCGATAAATACTAAAATTTACAATAAAATCAATGATAATAATTATCAAATCTAATTTTTAAGTTCACGTAGCATTACTTTTAAATATTATACTCTCTATCTTAATTATTTACGTTTTTAGGTTCAATTTAATCACACTCTCTACTTTTACTAACTATTTTAACTAACTTTTAATAATATAATTTAAAAATATGACGTGACGTAACACGTCAGCGTTTTAACAATGATTGTCACGCCACGTCATTAAAGTTTCAAATTTTACAGTGATTATATATTTTAAAAATGTATAAATAGCAGCTTTCACACGTATTATTATCACCCCAACCAAAACCATATCATAATAATAATTTTAATTAAATTTCAAATAATACAACCTAAGAGGAATTTAACACCCATCCAAACCCTAATGGGTTGCAAAATGGGTGAGGAAAGGGGGANAAATCCCCGACTCTCACTGCGTATTACGAAGGTTGGATAAGGAAATAGTCTACAAAGAGAATGACTCAAATGTCTAAACAGAATGACTCAAATGTCTTTTTAATTGGATCTTGCACAGTGAAGAGATGAACGATGGGCTTTGTTTATTACTGTGTCTGAGAGTGACCGAGAAGAGACAGAGAGCGACAGGCAGATTGGAGGATGCCTACCTTTCAAGCGAAACACGTCATTCTTTGCTCAGCATTTGGGCCATCGACCTGGGCCCACGGAGAGATGATCAGATGTGGTCAAGTACAACGACGTTAAGACGTGGCGGAGTGTCAGGGGAGATAAAAACGGTTTCCTTGTATCTTCCACTTCCGGCCACTGTCACTGCAGTAGTTTTTCCAATGAGTTGATCACTGCGATACTTTTTATTTAGGTAACTCTAANATAAAAACGGTTTCCTTGTATCTTCCACTTCCGGCCACTGTCACTGCAGTAGTTTTTCCAATGAGTTGATCACTGCGATACTTTTTATTTAGGTAACTCTAAGTTTGATGAATAATTTAAAAATTATACTTGATAATTATAATTATTGAATAGGTAGTGAATCCCGATAAATATTAAAATTTACAATAAAATCAGTGATTATAATTATCAATTCTAATTTTTAAGTTCATGTAACATTACTTTTAAATATTATACTCTCTATCTTAACTATTTACGTTTTTAAGTTTAATTTAACCACACTCTCTATTTTTACTAATTACTTTAACTAATCTTTAATAATATAATTTAAAAATATGGCGTGACATAACACGTCAGCGTTTTAACAATAATTGTCACGCCACGTCATTAAAGTTTCAAATTTTACAGTGATTAAATATTTTTAAAATGTATAAATAGCAGCTTCCACACGTATTATTATCACCCCAACCAAAACCATATCATAATAATAATTCTAATTAAATTTCAAATAATACAACCTAAGAGTAATTTAACACCCATCCAAACCCTAATGGGTTGCAAAATGGGTGAGGAAAGGGGGAGGTGGGTTCCGAAATTTGGGGGGGCAGGGGGGAAGGAAGGGGGATCTACAGCTTGGGAGGTGGGGGAACGAAGAAGATTATATGGCAGCAACCGTTGCCGCGAGTAGTTTGGCAAGCTTTTTCTTTTTCTCCAGATTTGACGAGAAACAAAAATCTCCTAGGTTTTAGCTAGCAAAATGACTAGTCAATTGGAGCAATTTTTTCGAACAATCCTTATCAAACTAGCTAAAAATGAAAATTTAGCTAGTGGGTTAGAGATGCTCTTAGAGACTAATGTTAGACCTTATATAAAGTCGTCTATTTATATGAGGAGGTAAATTTATGAATTAAGAGATATTCAAATCTCTGATCTACCAGTTATGATAGATTTATTAGTTGGTTAAGTTATTGAGTCTTATAAACTCAAATTTGTAATGCAAAATTTAGAAAACTAAAATTATTTTCATCACATATATTGGTTAAGATTGAATGATATATAAACACATTTAAAAAAAATTATATCTTGTATTATTTTTGTTACTTAATCAATTTGGTTGGTTAAAGAAAATAANATATATATATATAAAAGAATTACACCTAAACCCTCTGAGATTTGTCACTTAATCACTCAAACTCCCTTGTATTTGAAATATTACACACAGACCTCCTAAAGTTTGTACACTCGTAACACTTAAACCACTGCTGTAAATATATTCATTAATAAATTACACTTAGACTCTTTAAAGTTTATAGGTATATAATACTTAGACCCTTTAAGTTTAAAATGTTATAGTTAGAGTAAAAATACTTCAATTTAAGATAAAATATCAAATATTTTAAATTTTACAATTAAAATTTATCTTTTATTATATATATATATAATAAAAAAAAACAAGTAAAGATTATAACCAAGAAATAAATTTCCAAAACCACCGTGGTTTGATTAAAAAGAAAGTGATTTGTTAGTAGAATTGTGAAGTGGGCCAATGGGCTAGTTGGGAGGTGCTACTTGGTTGTTTTCGTCTAATTTTGAGAGGATTGATCTGGTTAAGATAGAAGGAACCTTCATTCCTTATACCATTTCTTCATAACCAAATATAACATTTTTGTCACTCCTTTGGTTTCTTATCTCTTCATTTTGTGACTTATTTTTTAATTGATTGTTGTTTGCATGGGGAACTTGCTTGCGCTTTAGGAATGACTTCCAACTTTATGTATGGGTCGGCGCTTGTGGATTAGCGTTTGTTGTTTGAAGGCATTACAAGAAAGCGAGCGAGCGGTGCAACTAACTAAGCCTTTAAGCTTATTTAAATAAATATTTCAGCTGGGCAAGTAAGAGTAAGCTAGTTAAAGAAATAAGACATGATAAGAATTCTGTGTCATAGGGCTACAAAGGGGGAGAGGCTTTTGAGGGCTCATGCCCAAATAGGGACTTTCATTTCTTTTGCATGCGGCTTCGTTCCTCATTTCTTCAAAGCAATGGAAGCTTCATCAGGAAGGGATAGGAATGATGCATTGGCTTGGTTGGCGGCTGGCCAACTTAGCTCTCGTCTTGTAGTTACTAGTAGGCGGTCTATCGATCGATAAGCGGCAATCAAGAATATGATTTATATTATATAATTTTTAATGGAAGAATGTACTTGTAAAACACAATTTTATATAGATATAAATATAATGGAATAAATAAATAAACAAAGATTATAGAGAAGAAATAAATTTCCAAAGCCACTGTGGTTTGATTTTTAAAAAAAAGCCTGATTGTTAATAGAATTGTGAAGTAGGCCAATGGGCTAGTAGGAGGTGCCACTTGGTAATTTTTTGTGGAAACATCCATGTAATTGGGCCACGTAAAAATAATATCCGTTTGACTGGACACCTGAAATAATACCGGAAGGTGGGCCGACTCAAGCCTCCTCCTCCTCTAAAGATCTAAAATTTTAATCATTGATTATTATTTTGTTATCTAAATGGAATTTTCATATCAAAGTATTTTGGATAATCAAACTATAATTTGAAAAATAGCTTACAAATTAACTTAATAGCCTCACCTAAATTAAAAAAAAACCCAAAAGACTTAAAACTAACACTGAGAATATTATACGAGTCATACTATAATATCCATGACATTTTTAATGAGATTCTATAAACTTAGAACCTTCAGCATTGAAGTGGTACAGAGCCCATATTTTTCTTGGTTAAAATATTATAAATATTTTTCTTAATTAACTTTAATTTCATTTTATGTCCAATTTTGAGAGAATCGACCGTGATAGGATAGAAAGAAACTTCATCCCTCAAACTTTCCTCCCTTATATCTTTTCTTCGTGACCAAATATGATGTGTTTACCACCCTTCTAATTGCTCTATCATTCCACTTTTTTTACCAAATGACCCATTAGATCAAGGGAAGGGGAAAGGAATGGGATCTGACCCACAAAAGAAAAGCCTTTATCTCTCTCTCTATCCTAACACCTACACCTACCGTCAACACATTATATGTTTCATCTTTTTTGCCCACAAATTTGGATCGGGTCTAATATACTTTCTCTTCATAATAAGATTTGTTTAGTTTTTTAACAGACTCTTAATAATAGAATAACCAGTTGTTAATTTAAGTTAAACAAATATTAATAACTAGGTACCCTTCAAATACGTAATCTATCTATCTTTCAAGTATAAATATGAAACTCGAAAATCACTAGATTATATTCTACTAATGCTTGGTCTCTAATCATAATAATGATTTGGGCTAATAACTTTTTTTTAACATTTTATTTATTTAGCAGTCAAGAATTTTTGAATTAAATTATACACACCTCAATTAATCTTCACACCAATCCGATTAAAGACAGATTATCCACGTCGAGACTAGAGTAATCCCTCATGACCTAATTTCAAGAGTTGTTAAAATTCAAATTCAAAATGTTTGAATTTACATCTCGTCTTTATTACAATTTGAAATCGTGGGTTAACTTTAATTTTTTTGAGAAAGTGGGGTTAAATTTATTTTTCCATCAAATACTTGTCAATTACAAGTTACAATCCAATAGAACAAGAGTGTGAAAGCAGCAAGAAAAGTACACCACCAACCGGGTGGAAAGCCCAGCCCTGATGGAGAGTGAAGTCCATTCCACCTTGACTTGGAATTGTATTAGGCATCCTTTCAACGCAAAGTTGTTTTCGGGTGTGTTATTAATGACTTGTATTAGGAAGAGTTTATGTTAGTCTTTTACTTCATATCATGATGCCCCTTCATAATCTCATTAGTAACTGTGTCAAAATTTATTTAATGTATATTCAAATTATTTATATTTCAATAATATTACGCTGACCAAATTATTTATTTTTTGTGAAAAAATAAAATATTATTATTACATTTTACGTTGCCCCCACTGAGAAAGAAGCCTGGCTCCGCCACTGGTTCGGCATGGGCCTGATATAAGTGACTCACTCCTTTATATGAGCCAAAACTCTCTCATCACCAATTGATGTGAGATTGTTCGATACATCAATAACAATCCCCTTCTTCAACGAGATTTATGATGGATCATTATTATGATTCTCTCGTTCGACATAAGGAGCCAAGTCTATATGGTGTTTTGGATCATGATTCTGATACCATTTGTTGAACATCTATTCCCTTATATGGTCTCAGGCCCCTTAATCATCGGTAAAACTTGTCCATCACACCTTAATATATTTTTTATAGTCGGGAATATATATTAAATTTTTATATCAAATGAATGTGAGTTGATAGATTGCAAAGTTCCATTGTCATTATGGTTGATAATTGAATGGTCTTGAATGAGTTTAAGCCGAGTCTCTCGAGCTCTTTTTTATAAACAAACTTAAAAAATTATTCGTGTTTAACTCATTTAAAAAATGAGTCAGGTTTGAACGAGCTTAAAATAAGTCGAATTTAAGCCGAGTCCGAATATTTACACATAAATAAGTTAAAACTCATTTTTTAAACAAACTTAAATTTTTTTTTAAATTCGAGTCATTTAAAAAACAAACCCAAAATAAATTGAACTCGAACTAAACTCGAGTAGTTCGATTTAATTATTAATTTAATAGTGAATATATAATAACTCTTTATACGTGTATATAGGTCATATTAAGGAAATTTCATGACCCCCAAAAAAAAATAAATTAAAAGGGTTTGTGTGGTATTTGTACAGTTTTATGTCAAGTTACCTAATTATTATTTAAATTTATAAAAATTAAATCTAAACCTAACAATTTAATATCAATTTTGTGTGGAATTGCCGTAATCGGGTCAAAAATTGTTAAAAGGGCCGTGGAGTAGCATTCACCGGCACCGCCATGGATTGGAAGCTCACACGTTTGATACAAAACGCCTACCCTACCCCCAAACGTACCCCCTCCTAGATATAGTCATATTCATACACGTTGAAGCGAGAATATNGGATTCACCGGCACCGCCATGGATTGGAAGCTCACACGTTTGATACAAAACGCCTACCCCACCGCCAAACGTACCCCCTCCTAGATATAGTCATATTCATACACGTTGAAGCGAGAATATAACTCAAAATCAATTAGGGTTTTCTTTTTAACTCTTTCCCTTCCTCTTCTTCTTCCACCAATTAAACTTATTCCTTTCTCGCTCTACAATTCTCTCTCTGTGTCCCTCGTCTAAAGCCCCAATATCTTAATCGATCACCGATTACTTGTAGCTATTGATTTCAATCGAAAATTGGTGAAGGGTTAAGGTTTGTGATTGGGTGTTTTGGGGATTGTGGAGCTGGTTCGAGAAAGGTTTGATCTTTATTTTTTCTGTGAATTTTGGAATTTAGGGTTTGAGAGATGATAAAAAGTTGCGGATCGGGAAGCCATTGATCGCCGTTAATCGGCGAGGCCGATTCGCGGTTTTGCGGTTTTGTATGGAAACTCGGAGTCGGAAGCGGGCGGAGGCTACCTCATCGGCCCCTTCTTCTTCTTCTTCTGGTCCAACCACTCGTTCCTCCAAGCGTGCCCGTCTCTCCGTCACCGCTGCTGCATCTTCAGTCCCCGCCGGAGTCACCACTAGCGTCGCCGTCAATTCATCGGTTTCGACTCGTTCTCGTGTCAGTACTCGTTCACAAGACTCACTAGCTGTTTCGTCAACTGCGATGGATTCCACCAACGAATCGTCCGGGTCCGCTTCCCGTGGCCGACGCGGTAAGAACCCTAGTCAGAACTCTGATAAGGATAATTCCGATAAAGGAAAGGAAAAAGAGCATGAAGTCAGGGTTAGGGATAGAGATAGAGACACCGAGAGGAGCTTGGGTTTGAATATTGACGGCGATGGTGGCGACGACGATGATAACGATAGCGAAGGCGGTGTTGGGCTTTTGCATCAGAATCTTACTTCAGCGAGCAGTGCTCTTCAAGGTCTGCTTAGAAAATTGGGTGCTGGTTTGGATGATTTGCTTCCCAGTTCGGCAATGCCGTCTGCGTCTTCATCGCATCAAAGCGGGCGGCTTAAGAAGATTTTATCGGGGTTGAGGGCGGATGGCGAGGAAGGCAAGCAAGTGGAGGCATTGACGCAGCTCTGCGAGATGCTTTCGATTGGGACTGAGGAGTCTTTGAGCACTTTTTCAGTGGACTCGTTTGTTCCGGTGCTTGTGGGGTTGCTTAACCATGAGAGCAATGTGGATATCATGCTTCTTGCTGCCAGAGCACTGACCCATCTCGTTGATGTGCTTCCCTCATCTTGTGCTGCGGTTGTGCATTATGGTGCGGTTTCATGTTTCGTTGCTCGATTGCTCACAATTGAGTACATGGACTTGGCTGAACAGGTGAGCAAGTTATCAGTTGGAAGAAACAAGAAAATTTATTGAAAACCACTTTGAATGGATAAAAATTACTTGTAGTATTCTGAGAACCGCATTTCTTAGATATTAGTTTCGTATCATTATTATTATTCTTTGTTTATGATGTTCAATACATATTAGCAAGACATAATTATAGTTTTAAAACTTCCGAATTGACATTGATGTTTATTTTAATGGGAACAGTCTCTGCAAGCTCTGAAAAAGATATCTCAGGAACATCCAACTGCCTGCTTGCGAGCAGGTGCTCTAATGGCAGTGCTTTCGTACCTCGACTTCTTCTCCACCGGAGTCCAGGTAAGCTAATTAGAGTAATCGGCATGGTATGGTTCATGTTCTGGAAACTCGCATTGTTGTGTGATACTTCAAACTAATTTATTTTCTTCTAATACTTTTCCCAGAGAGTGGCATTGTCTACTGCTGCAAATATGTGCAAGAAACTCCCATCAGACGCCGCTGATTTTGTGATGGAAGCCGTTCCTTTGTTGACAAACCTCCTTCAGTATCATGATGCAAAGGTGAGTTTATTATTCTGTTACAATGGGAGGCATTTTTCTCAACTTCATATAGTTAATTTTGGAGAACTAATCCCTTCTTGTCTTTTTCCTCTTCTTTGTTTGCTTTGTTTTGTTTTTAGGTTTTGGAGCATGCGTCTGTTTGTTTGACTCGGATTGCAGAGTCATTTGCATCATCTCCAGAAAAGCTGGATGAACTATGCAATCATGGACTGGTTACACAAGCAGCTTCACTAATTTCGACCAGTAGTTCTGGAGGTGGTCAGGCTTCCCTCAGCTCAGCTACTTACACGGTAAGTGCTGTTATTGATTTCAAGTTCAGTGATTTTGTTTATGGAGGCTACATTTGTGACTTACACGATATGCAGGGCTTAATCCGATTACTTTCTACATGTGCAAGTGGTTCCCATCTAGGAGCCAAAGCATTGCTGCTCCTCGGGATCAGTGGTATTCTTAAAGACATACTATTTGGTTCTGGACTTGTTGCGAGCATGTCTATTTCACCTGCCTTAAGTAGACCGCCAGAGCAGGTACTGTTTCTTTGTTTAGTTGTTACATAGAGGTTAATTTATGAGGTGCTCATAGAGCCCTTATACGAATCTAGATAACTAAGATTTGCAATCTGGTGTGCTTTGTGGTTGGTATGGGTTGTTTACCTTCTGTATTGGTTACTGAAAATTTTTGTATAGCATCAGTTCTGGATGCATGAAGTTCTTTCACGGCAAGTATCTTCTGATGGGATTTTGCATGGCTTTCTGCAAAAGTAATTTTAGGGTGCTACGGTTGGTGGTTATATGCTTTTATTTTTGCAATCCTTTCAAAAAGAGGCAAGATTTGCACTTTCGTGGCTAGTACACTATTAAATTCATTGTGGGACTTTAGTTTTCCATTTTGTCATTCAAATTTAATTTTATGTATATTGTTAACGTGTTATAGCATGCTGCATAAATTTTGAATTTGTGCATTTGGTCTTGATGTCAGTTTTAACCTAGCTACTGTTTCTTGATTTTGGTATTGAAATTCTTCTGATTTTTATTGACTGCTCAGATATTTGAGATTGTGAACCTAGCAAACGAGCTCCTTCCTCCACTGCCTCAAGGAATCATCTCTCTTCCAGCCAGCTCTGGTTTATTTTTCAAAGGATCTATTTCAAAGAAATCTTCTGTCAGCAGTTCTGGTGAACCAGAAGATTCAAATGGAAATGTACCCGAGGTTTCAACTCGAGAGAAACTATTAAATGATCAGCCTGAGCTTCTGCAGCAGTTTGGAATGGACCTTCTTCCTGTTTTAATTCAGGTTAGTTTTCTGGAGAACTAAGTATTGTTGACTCTCAGTTCTGCCATTAGTTAATATCACAAGAATCTGTCAAGCAGATATATGGATCAAGTGTAAATGGTCCTGTTCGTCACAAATGCCTCTCTGTCATTGGAAAACTGATGTACTTCAGCTCTGCGGATATGATCCAGTCTTTAGTAACCATGACAAACTTATCAAGGTATACCATGTTTAATCCACAATGAAATGATATACTTTGTCTATGACAAGTGTGTACAAGTACTTATGTAGAGTTTTTTCTGTTGTTTCCCTAGTTTCCTAGCTGGGGTTTTAGCATGGAAAGATCCGCAAGTCTTGGTGCCTGCCCTTCAAATTGCAGAGATTCTGATGGACAAGCTTCCTGGTACTTTTTCCAAGATGTTTGTGAGAGAAGGTGTCGTTCATGCTGTAGATGCACTCATCCTAGCGAGGCTTCCTAGTACTGCTACTTCCCAACCATCATCGAGCGAGAAGGATAATGATTCTATACCTGGATCATCATCACGCTCTAGGCGTCATCGAAGACGCGGTGGTAACTCAGATTTAGATGTAAATTCTGCTGATGATTCTAAGAATCCAGTTCCAGTTATTGGTTCACCTCCAAAGTCGATAGAGTTTCCGACTGTCAATTCTAGTCTTCGTGTGGCAGTCAGTGCTTGTGCAAAAACATTCAAAGATAAGTACTTCCCTTCAGACCCTGGGACCAGCGAAGCTGGTGTTACTGATGATCTTTTACATTTGAAGAATCTTTGCATGAAGCTGAATGCTGGGGTGGATGACCAAAAAACTAAATCAAAGGGAAAGGGTAAAGCTTCTGGTGGTCGTTTTGTCGACATCTCTGCTTGTAAAGAGGATAATTTGGTTGGTGTAATATCTGAAATGCTGGCGGAGCTAAGCAAAGGGGATGGCGTGTCCACTTTTGAGTTCATTGGTAGTGGGGTCGTAGCTGCTCTGCTGAATTACTTTTCTTGTGGATACTTCTCCAAGGAAAGAATTTCAGAAGATAATCTAACTAAGCTTCGACAGCAAGCAATCAGAAGATACAAATCGTTTGTTGCAGTCGCCCTCCCTGCAAGTGTTGACAAAGGGAATGTGGCTCCAATGTCTGTCTTGGTTGAAAAGCTTCAAAATGCTTTGTCCTCCTTAGAGCGTTTTCCTGTTGTGCTGAGCCATACTTCTAGGTCATCTAGTGGTAATGCACGCCTATCTTCTGGTCTAGGTGCATTGTCACAGCCATTTAAGTTGCGTCTTTGTAGAGCATCAGGAGAAAAATCTCTTCGTGACTATTCTTCAAATGTTGTCCTGATTGATCCATTAGCGAGTCTAGCAGCTGTTGAAGACTTTCTTTGGCCCCGGGTTCAACGAAGTGAGTCTGGGCAGAAGCCTTTGGCATCTGCAGGGAACAGTGAGTCTGGGACTACACCTACTGGAGCAGGTGCTTCATCACCGTCTACTTCTACTCCTTCCACTACTCGTCGCCATTCTACTCGATCCAGATCGTCTGTTAATATAGGAGACACAACCAAGAAGGAGTCACAAGAGAAAAATGCAAGCTCGTCAAAGGGGAAGGGAAAAGCTGTTTTGAAGCCTGGTCAGGAGGAGGGGAGAGGTCCTCAGACAAGAAATGCTGCTCGCAGAAGAGCAGCTCTTGATGAAGATGCACAAAAGAAGCCTGTGAATGGGGATTCTAGTTCTGAGGTATGCCTTATACTGTCATATATGTTTCTATGTTTTGTAAATGATATTGAATGTGAATTGACTTGGATATAGCTGTAACATGAGGTGTCATGTCAAAATGAAACATCTTTGAAAATTACTGAACATGTACAATGTAATGAGATATACAAGTCTTGCCCAGTTTTTTGCTTAGTGATTTATGTCTCTTATTGTCATTTCTTATTCTTTTGCTTTTTTTTTTCTTCCCACTTAGAAATCTTGCTTCAGTCTCTCTTTTAGAGTTTTAACATCTGTGAGTCCTGCTATACGAACACGCCCCTTTTTGGTGCTTTGTAGGATGAGGAGTTGGACATTTCTCCTGTTGAGATTGACGATGCCTTGGTAATTGAAGATGATGATATCTCTGATGATGATGAAGACGACCATGATGATGTATGTTATCAAATCTCCTAATTTATTATTTTCCCCTTCTTTTTTCCTGATATATGTTGAATTTGTGCAATTATTGGTCTTCCTCATATTTACTAATTTTAGTTTCTGGGGGGAATAAGGAAGCTTAAGGTGATTTTGGTTTGCAACTTACGCATCTGATGACAACAAAAAGGTCAGTCAAGCTGCTAGCGCAGTTGTGTCCCAGTGTGTGGACCACTGCTTTCAGGTTATTCAGTGAAGATCTCTAGAACATGATTAGAAGACAAGGTTGAGTGAATTGGAATACCTTTTAGGAACCCGACCATGCCATTATATGCATGAGATGGAAGGGGAAAATAACCTGAATCATGTTGGCGAGGTTGGTCGTTCCACACATAGAACATCTAACCCGTCAGTTATAGTAAGGCACAGATAAATGCCATCTGAGACAAGAGGTACAAATGCTTGTAAAAGTAGTAATATCAGATAAATTTTGACTTGACAGTTATNTTATATGCATGAGATGGAAGGGGAAAATAACCTGAATCATGTTGGCGAGGTTGGTCATTCCACCCATAGAACATCTAACCCGTCAGTTATAGTAAGGCACAGATAAATGCCATCTGAGACAATAGGTACAAATGCTTGTAAAAGTAGTAATATCAGATAAATTTTGACTTGACAGTTATCTTGGCTGTAATTTTCAGGTACTGAGGGATGATTCTCTTCCTGTTTGTATGCCAGACAAAGTGCACGATGTAAAATTGGGTGATTCCATTGAGGACAGTCCTGTTACCCAAACAAGTGATAGCCAGACCAATCCAGCCTCTGGTTCTAGCAGCAAAGCTGCTACTGTAAGGGGCTTGGATTCTGCTGAATTTAGGGGTGGGAGTTCATTTGGTTCTAAGGGTGCAATGTCATTTGCTGCTGCTGCCATGGCTGGGCTTGCATCTGCAAACGGTCGGGGGATCAGGGGAGGCAGAGATAGGCAGGGACATCATCTATTTGGCTCTAATGATCCGCCTAGACTATTTTTTTCTGCTGGTGGAAAGCAACTTAATAGGCATTTAACAATATATCAGGCCATCCAACGACAACTTGTCCTGGATGATGATGATGATGAGAGGTATGCTGGCAGTGATTTTGTATCTAGTGATGGAAGTAGGCTATGGAGCGATATTTACACCATCACATACCGAAGGGCTGACGGCCAAACTGAGAGACCTTCAGCTGGGACTGCGAGTTCGACAACCCCGTCTAAATCTACAAAAGCAGGTTCCACATCCAATTCCAATATTGATTCCTCACTTAATCGAATCTCGCTTTTAGATAGCATTTTGCAGGGGGAACTTCCCTGTGATATGGAAAAAATCAATCCCACATATAACATATTGGCACTACTGCGTGTATTAGAGGGGTTGAATCAGCTTGCACCACGTTTACGAATTCAGGTAGTGACAGACAGTTTCTCTGAAGGGAAGATTTTGTGTCTAGATGAGCTGAGTGTCACCGGTGTCAGGGTTCCCCCCGATGAATTCATTAATAGTAAGCTCACTCCTAAATTGGCTCGACAAATCCAGGATGCGCTTGCACTTTGCAGTGGGAGTCTTCCATCGTGGTGTTACCAGCTGACAAAAGCATGCCCATTTTTGTTTCCTTTTGAGACTCGGCGTCAATATTTCTATTCAACTGCTTTTGGGTTGTCCCGTGCATTGTATCGGCTTCAGCAGCAGCAAGGTGCAGATGGACATGGATTGACAAATGAGAGAGAGGTAAGGGTAGGGAGATTACAGCGCCAGAAAGTTCGTGTTTCCCGAAACCGTATTCTGGATTCTGCTGCAAAAGTCATGGAGATGTATTCAAGCCAAAAGGCTGTCCTCGAAGTAGAATATTTTGGTGAAGTTGGCACTGGATTGGGGCCTACCTTGGAGTTTTATACCCTTTTAAGTCATGACCTGCAAAAAGCTGGACTGGGAATGTGGAGATATTCTTCATCAGATAAACCTTCCATGGAAGTTGATATAGATGAACAAAAAGATGGAAATGGAATAGCTAATAGCGCATCTGATCAGGGATCAAATGGGTGCGATACAGGTCTGATCCAAGCACCCCTTGGCTTGTTCCCTCGTCCTTGGCCTCCAAATTCTGATGCTTCTGATGGTAGTAAATTGTATAAAGTAATTGAGTATTTTCGATTGCTTGGGCGTGTGATGGCTAAAGCTCTTCAAGATGGGCGGCTTTTGGACCTGCCGCTGTCAACCGCCTTTTATAAGCTTGTGCTTGGCCAAGTAAGCAAATTCCCTAGTTAACTTTGTTTGAGGTTAAATATTGCACTTTTTTATTGTCAACCCGTGGTATGGTTTGGTTTAATGAGAAAATTATGGTTTCTCCAATTCATTGCAGGAACTTGATTTGCATGATATTATTTCTTTTGATACGGAGCTTGGGAAGACTTTGCAAGAATTGCAAGCCCTTGTTAGCCGGAAACATTATCTGGAATCCATTGGTGGCCGTGATCGCAATGAAATAATTGATTTACATTTCCGTGGGGCTCTCATTGAAAATCTTTGTTTGGATTTCACCATCCCTGGTTATCCTGATTACATTCTGAAACAAGGCGATGAGAATGTAACTTATTTTTCCTTGAATGTATCTTCAAGCACATCCATTTTCTTGTTGGTTGTGTTTGTGACCGTATTTCTCATATTGGTTTGTTAAAATTTGCAGGTTGATGTTAGTAATTTGGAGGAGTATATTTCGCTGGTGGTTGATGCTACTGTCAGGACTGGGATTATGAGGCAGGTGGATGCATTTAGGGCTGGGTTTAATCAGGTATGCGGTTTCCTCTGCTAAATGGTTATGAGTAGTTACTCTTGAGAATTTTAGTCTCTTTGATGTCAAATTGTATTACTTCCTCTTATAAGTTGTGTTTTTGGGTTGGCGAATGTGGCATCATTGTTCATGTTGCAGTCAACATGGCCTTGTGAATCTTTGCCATCTTTACTGCTGAATTTTCTTTCCATGGTCATGTTCGTATCTACATGGCAATGTTCAAAAATATTATTTAATTGGAAGAACCACCACTTCATTTTTAATCATATTTTGTCTCTTCTGAACTGCTGTCAGGTGTTTGACGTCTCAAGTCTACAAATATTTTCTCCAAATGAATTGGATTATTTGCTTTGTGGCCGCAGAGAGTTGTGGAAGGTGATATTTTTTTCGATGTGATTTTCCTGTTGCTATGTGACAACAGATAGTACCTGTATTCCTTGCGTTATCATGGTTAATAACAAAATTCATTCTTATGCAGGCTGAGACACTTGTTGATCACATTAAATTTGACCATGGATACACTGCCAAAAGTCCTGCGATTGTTTATGTATGGATACCCTTTCTTCCCTCTGTCCTTCCTCTCTATGGCTGGGATCTCATCTCCTTGAAATGGTACCCATTTGATTTCACACCACTTATTTTGAAAATTATCTTATTTTGTTGTCTTCAGTTACTTGAGATTATGGGGGAATTTACCCCAGAGCAGCAACGGGCCTTCTGTCAATTTGTAACTGGTGCTCCTCGTCTTCCCCCTGGTGGTCTGGCAGTGCTGAATCCAAAGTTGACCATTGTGAGAAAGGTAAATATCAGAGCAAATATCAAATAGGCCCTCAGGTGGTTATCTGGAATTATTTATGCCATAGTTGCATATTCACTCTCCCTCATATGTCTGGGTGCAGCATTCATCTACCCCCAGCAACACAACATCGAATGGGACTGGGACTTCAGAATCTGCAGATGACGACTTGCCAAGTGTGATGACATGTGCTAATTATTTAAAGCTTCCACCCTATTCTTCAAAGGTACCAGTTAGTTAAGAAAAACTCTTGGTTTTGGGATTCCTTATGATGCTTTATCTAGCTAGCCATTATGTTATCCGGTGATTCATCGGTGAAAATGTTGTATCGGCAATATTTGCTTATTCAGTTTCTGTTTTTCCATCGATGACTTTTATTCTTTGTAACAGGAAATCATGTACAAGAAACTGCTGTATGCAATCAGCGAAGGGCAGGGATCTTTTGATTTGTCATGAGTCTGTCTTCAAACTAACTATTTAAACTGTATATTGTATCGGGAAGACTGGGTCATTTGGTATCGTAGCTGCTGCTGGGCTATGTTTGTTGTTGAAAGTAGCCTTTGCTCTGCTGCTCAATAAAGGGTGGTCTCCTTTTGTGGGTTTACTTAGATAATGATATGTATACCAATATTTGTCATTTCATTCGGTTCAAGTGATTCGTTTTGCAGGCTCCATTGTGGAATTAATTCTGAATGTGTGGATGTATATTCAAAAATTGGGAATTGATCTTCCGTCGTAATTTCAAAGTAGTAGTCTTTACTCTTGAAACAAAAGGATTTTAACAAATTATTTTGTGAAGAATTGTGATAATTTTGAGACCAAAATTAGTGATTATTAACNTTTTCAAAAATTGGGAATTGATCTTCCGTCGTAATTTCAAAGTAGTAGTCTTTACTCTTGAAACAAAGGGATTTTAAAAAATTATTTTGTGAAGAATTGTGATAATTTTGAGACCAAAATTAGTGATTATTAACTTATCTCCATTACATAAAAAAAAAAGTTGATTTGGTATGCAATCTTTGTATGCAATCTTCATCTTCATAGCTATCGTTGTTCTCATTTCTTTTGATATTGTTGGTTGCTGGCGTATTTTAGAGGTCCCGGTTTGNCTCTTCATCTTCATAGCTATCGTTGGTTCTCATTTCTTTTGATATTGTTGGTTGCTGGCGTATTTTAGAGGTCCCGGTTTGGTGGTGCTATTTTTACTCCAAATGAATTATCTGTTTGCTTTCTCACCGCTGGTTTGTAGTTAGCAAAAATATTCTTCCCATCATCGCGATGAGTTGCTTCCTTAATGTGCTTCTCGTGAAGAAAGACAAATTTCAAATTCTAAAAATTGTTTTTTTAAAATAGTGAAAAATAAATTTTTATTAGCTCAAGAGTCACAACTAAAGTTGAAGAAAAACAAAGAAATTAGAATATAGCTCCAAAAAGTGTGAGAAGAAAAATACCTTTATTATTATGGATAAATCTAAATTACTAAATTACAATAAAAAACTTACAAAATAGAAACCAGAGAAAAGGAAAGAATAAGCTGGTAATTGTTGTNATTAAAGTTGAAGAAAAACAAAGAAATTAGAATATAGTTCCAAAAAGTGTGAGAAGAAAAATACCTTTATTATTATGGAGAAATCTAAGTTACTAAATTACAATCAAAAACTTACAAAATAGAAACCAGAGAAAAGGAAAGAATAAGCTGGTAATTGTTGTTGGTGATTTGCGTTTTTGTTGCCCTTTTGATTTAGGTTGATAGGGGTCTATTAATAGGTGATTAGAGAAGGGTCTACAAACTCAAAGTAAGTAGAAGTTTAGAAGAATTCTAACTTAGTGATGAGCATTGGTAGAAAAGTGACGGTTCTAAATATTGGTAGAAGGCTCAAGAAGAATACCAAATGCGAATATGTTCTACAAGGTTCTAGATATTGAAATTCTCAAATACATTAATCCTCACTATATTCTTAAAATATTTAAATAAATAATTACAAAAAATTTTCTTTAAATTTTTAACACTTCTTNAGTGCGAATATGTTCTACAAGGTTCTAGATATTGAAATTCTCAAATACATTAATCCTCACTATATTCCTAAAATATTTAAATAAATAATTACAAAAAATTTTCTTTAAATTTTTAACACTTCTTTCCGTTTTGGCTCTTTTCACCAATTACGTTGACAACGAAGATTTCATAAAGAGTGTGTGTGTGGAATGCGGAGGTGCCATTGCAGAGTTGGTGGCTGTTCATAAAATTATATCTGGCAGCTGCGGTGGTTACAGTTCCTTGGGGGTTTTCTTTATTTGCAGCGGTACGATTGTGTTTATGTGTAACAGACTAACAGTACAAAAATTTAATCTGATTTTGTTTTTTGTTTGCAGCAAATGGAGGTTAGTTTCTTGGGGGCAGTGGCTTAGTTAGCGTGGTGGATGGTTTTATCGTTGTATCATAGTGCTAGATTCCAGCTTAAGTATTTTGGTTTTAATGTAATAGAGGCAGTAATAGAGGTCAGGTAGTAGTACATTTACTACTTTAATCAATGAATTAGCCAGCCTTCTTCATTTCCATTCGATTCCAGTATCATGTATATCACCAGTACCACTTCACAGCAGGTAAAACCCACCACAATAGCCATCAGAAAAATAATAAGAGAAAAGCTTTCTTCCCAATCCAACAATATCAATGAATTGGATCCAGAAATACTATTATTCAGTAGACATGATGATGATTATTATTATTATTTTGGTCTACAATACGATTCAATATACACCAATTGAAAAATTAAATCAAATCACAATTCAAACATACAACAACATTATGAACAAAATCGATTCAGTTTCAATCCAACAAATCCAAAATCAATCCCAACTTGTTAATTTTGATGCTCAATTCCATGGACTCATAACTTTAATCCCATTGAATTAATTACAATTTTACTTCAAGGAGGGTATAGAAATATTTGTACGACAAGACGGGAAAGAAAGATAGATGAAATATGAAGAGCGTAGACCATGGTTCCCATGGACAAGGTAACCAAAATAATAGATTCCTCACAAAACAAAAGAGTGTGTTTGACACTTTGAAGTAAAGTCACCATTGTTAAAGGTAAGGTTACCACCTTTTAAGACAAGATTATAATTCTTTGAGGTAAAGTTACCATGTTTAAAAGTAATGTTACAACAACCTTTAAGGTAAAATTATAACTCTTTGAGGTATAAAGTTACCATAGTTCGAGGTAAGATTACTCCTCCTTAAAGTAAGGTTATAACCCACTGAGATATTTGAATAAAATTCCACCCTTGCATCGTCGATATTTAATTTAAACAAAAAATAGGTCATCCAAATAACATTTTTTTAAAAAAAACTATGGTTACGTTAGACCCTTAAAAAAGATTGATCCGTTCGTTCATTAGGCAGTGAAATAAATGTCTATTAGAAAGTTGGATCATGAGATGAATAAAAGAAATACAAGTCCGCTACAATGTCAATGTTGGATCAGGACTCAATAGCATAGCATTATAAAAAAAGTTACCCACGGTGGTAATGCTGCTGCTCAGTCTAATTTTCTGCAATGCAAAAAAGAAAAATGAAAATTAGAAAGAGGAGCAGACGAAGAATGGATATATAAAGCAACAAATTTTTTTAAACAAAACTTAATGCAAAAGCTGAGAGAAAAATCGTGGGAAAACAACTTACTCAGTCTTAGCACCAACGGGTAAATTTTTTGATTTGAAGCAGCGCTGAGACACAAATCAAAACAAAACAAAACAAAATTAGAGTAGAAAAGGAGATAACTTTGAAAAAAAAAGGAGTAGTTGAATCCTCACCATGGCAAAAACTGCAGTAAGGGCAGGAAATATTGTTATAATTGCCGCCATTAACATGCCTTTGAGGATGAGAATAAACGCAGTGATCATTGACTGAACCATCACCCAACGAGCAATAACCACAGAATCTCGAAAGGTTGCAGCCCCTTTAAAACTAGATGTCACAATGATAGACATGGCAGAAAGAGCAACAACAACAAACATATTTCCTTTGGCAATAATGTGTGCAAAGGCATGGCTGCAAACGTAAATAAATAAAATTCTGGTGCCATATCGGAGACGTGCTTTAGAGATGCGTTCTTCAACCTTGTTACATATAATCATATGCAATACATCAATAATGGCGGCCAAGACGATAGCAACCAACTCCGCCATGAATACTTTCACGGAGGAGGTTTCCAATTCCATAGGCCCCCATGATATAGGTACTAGAGGATGGAGAAGTACTCGAAAAAATATTACTGACCCACAATACTGAATTGATAGAAAAATAGCTATGCCTATCATGTCTGCCTTGGTTTTTACAAAAGACTCTTATAATTGATTGATATAAGTTGCCCCAGTTATACTCACAAACACCTATGTATTATATATGTTGTTGGGGGTAACCTGCGGGTTCGTCATTTGATCTTATTCTGTGTTTAGGATAGGGAAAGTTTAGAGGTGTTTNATAAGTTGCCCCAGTTATACTCACAAACACCTATGTATTATATATGTTGTTGGGGGTAACCTGTGGGTTCGTCATTTGATCTTATTCTGTGTTTAGGATAGGGAAAGTTTAGAGGTGTTTTGTTTGAAGTCAAACTCTTTTGGAGTTCCAATTCAAATTATGGATTTAGCCTAAAACCCTGGATTTTTGTATTTGTAATTTTATTTATCTTTTTATGGGGGTTTAGTTTAGGGGTTGGATTTTGTGGCATATTATATAATATAACTAGTAATAACCTCCACACTCTCTACGATAGCCCCACATCAAGCATTAATTGTGAAATATTTTTATTTTAAAGAATATTTTTTAAATTATATAATTTAAAATTAAAGTGGGTAGAAAGAAAATAAGAAAAATATATTTGTGGATTAATGAGGTAGTTTGGCATTAGCCACAAAAAAAAATTAGGATGAATTTTATACTATTAGATCAAAGTAATAAAAAATTAAACCAATTTTCATTTTTNGGCATTAGCCACAAAAAAAATTAGGATGAATTTTATACTATTAGATCAAAGTAATAAAAAATTAAACCNGACATTTGCCACAAAAAAAAATTAGGATGAATTTTATACTATTAGATCAAAGTAATAAAAAATTAAACCAATTTTCATTTTTGTCATGCTTTTATAAATTAAAAATTCAATTTTCAAACTATAATATTAGATAAATTTTTTTTTCCCAAAAGCGTGTGAAGATAAAGATAGTTTGTTACAGAGATACCAGCAAAATAGGCTAACCCTAGAGATACCAGATAAATTTAGAGGGTGTTCGTTTATTGTCTTTATTTTGTGTTTTTGTTTTTAATTTTTGTCAAAAATGAAAACAAAAAAATGTTTGAGTATTGTTTTTGTTTTACATTTGTTATTTGGAAATAAAGACAAAAAAAATGAGAACAAAAAATTTGTGTTTCAGGAAACACGCAAAACACAAAACACAAGCTTCTTGATTAAATGAAGTCTCAACTTCGAGTTTTGTTAGGCATAAAAGGCTCGTTCATTTATCAAAGTATAAATATAGTCTTTTTTCTCTCTTCTCCTACACACAGATCGACTCTCTCTCTTCTACTCCACTCTCAGCAACTCTCTTTCTTCTCTGGAGCTCTTAACATCTCTCTCTTCTACTCTCTCTCTCTCAACGACGAAGACGAACCGAAACCCTCTCTCTCTCTCTCTCTTGCTTGCTATCTGTGAAATCCAAAAACAAAGACACAGATCTGTACATATATGCATAGATTTGTGTGTGTGTGTGTGAGAGTGGCAGGTCTGTGTGTATGTGTTGTGTGTGTTTATGAGTGAGTGACGAGCCTGTGTGTGTTTTATGTTGTGTGATACACAGATCTGTGCAAATCTACACAGATTTGTGCGTGTGCGTGTGTGTGTGAGAGAGAGATGAGTCTGTGTGTGTGTATTATATTCTGTGTGTATTGTGTTGTGTTTGGATTAGTTGCCGACTAAATTGTCATTTGGAATTGTTCAATTGCTATTTAAGATCGATTGAATTACTATTTAGAAATAAATTTTCATTTGGAAATTAATTATCAATTGATTGAATTGCAATTTAAGATTGATTGAATAACTATTTGGGATTAAATTACTATTTGGAATTGATTGAATTGCCATTTAGTCCCAATTTTTTTTTTTTTTTGGCTAACAAACTAATGGGTAGATTGAATGAGTTTGATGATCTTTGATGGATTAATATAGATCTTTCATGAATTTTTGGATTTGTATTTTGTTGTACGATATATTATAAAGCATATTTAAGATAAAACGTAAAATAATTACTAAATATATTTTTTATTTTTTCTTATCATAATTTGATAGACAAAAATGACATCCAAATATATTTTTTTGTTTTAGTGTTTATAACAAAATAGAGAAAAAAATTGTTTTTGTTTTTGATTATTTTGCAGACACGAAAACGAAATCGTTACAACTCCATTCATTCATCACAAAACAAGAGAGAGTTTGCAATTTGGTTTAAAACACTCCCAAAAAAAGAAAAGAAAAGAAAAGAAAAGAAAGGGTTTAAAATTGTGCATACAATCTACGATTAAGCAGCATAATAATAGAACAGTAATGCTTATGATCANCTCCCAAAAAAAGAAAAGAAAAGAAAAGAAAAGTTTCCCAAATTTTAACACGTATGTTAGATGCTAATTCGTCGTATTATTATCTTGTGTAATGCTTATGATCACATTACAACACAAGCAGCGGGGTTTTCATCACTGAAGGCAGTGGTGTACCGTACCTCGGTGGAACTCGCACGTGCAAGCTGAGAAACCTGTGGGTCCTCAGCATATCGCACGTACCCAGCTGGGGCCTTCCTATCGTACACACCAGGTGCGTAGGGATGTGCTACGACGTCGTATGGAACGTAAGGCCACAGCTCCACCTTCTTGCCCGTCCGATGAGCCACACGGCTCACAACTTTTTGAGGGTCCACATATCCAACGACAGTGAGCTTGCTTTGCTTGGGCTCCACTTCTACTGAGTTCACTCCTTTCATTCCTTCCACAGCTCTTCTCACCTTTCTCTCGCATCCTTCACAGTCTATCTTCACCTTTATCTCCACCGTCTGATCAAGCCATACCAATAAATCAGTGGATCCAATCAGATCAAGCAAGTATTCAGACAAACGAAAAAAAAGAGAGGATTAGACTAAACAAGTCGGGCTGCAAAAGAAGCTTCGAACACTCTCAATTCCTTCTTTTTTTNACAAACGAAAAAAAAGAGAGGATTAGACTAAACAAGTCGGGCTGCAAAAGAAGCTTCGAACACTCTCAATTCCTTCTTTTTTTAAATACTCATCGAGTTTAATCATGTATAGAAATGATAATTGAGCCAAACTATTCCGACTTAACTTGAATTCGACTCTAACTCGCTCGTTTAGAACATGACTTAAACTTTAATAAGNATCATGTATAGAAATGATAATTGAGCCAAACTATTCCGACTTAACTTGAATTCGACTCTAACTCGCTCGTTTAGAACATGACTTAAACTTTAATAAGTTTTTTAAATAACTCGAATCAAGGTCACAAAATTTGTTTGATTTATATGTAAAATAATCAAGTTACAAGGTGCAATTCGGGTTTGACTCGACTTATTTTCTAAACAAATTGAATTTAAACGTTTTTTTAGGATCATTTAAAAAACGATCTCAATATACTTGACTCGAACTCGCAAAATTCAACTCGATTTTCAATTCTAGTCATATACTGTGAAATCTATAAGACCATGTTAATAGATTCTAAGGAGTATTTGGGTCCTCTTAAATAACATCAAAATTCAGAGGCAATAGGATTCCACATGATGAGAAATTTTGAAACAATAATAAAGTTATTTTTTTTGTTATTTGAACGTTATTGATTCGAGACACAAAAAACAAACCTCTCCATGAATAAAAAAAAAGGCCATTTACATCTAACTTTTTTCTCACAAACAACCATCCTTTTTTTCACTTGCATTGAAGTTTTCAAGAAATTTAACCCTGAATTAAACTTTGGCTCAAATTCTCAGGGTCTGTTTGGTATGTGAATTTTTTTTTTTGGGGGGAAGGGGGGAGGGAGTTTTGGAATATGGGTTGGGGAATAAACCCACTCAAACCCATATTTGACAAATACACATGTAATTTAGGATTTGAAACCCGGTCCGGTCATTAAACCAAAATTTATGGGTCTCATGAAAGGGTGCGTTTTATATGTGGGTTAGTAGGTTTAACATGCAAATGACATTTATATCTTCATATATCTTATATATCTCATATATACAAATTAGTTAAGGGACACAACAGTTATTTACATACAAATATATTATTATAAAAGTCATATATCCCTGAAATATCAAACATGAGTATGAATATCATTAAATGTTGAATCCCATCTTTGGGTTTAGACAAGCCAATCTAAACTTTTCCCAAAAAATATACCAAACAGTCCCTTAGAGATTCAGACACTTGGGTGAATCCTAGCTAACCTCAAGAGTAGTCAACTAGTAATAGGGATGAATTGTAAATTTAGACGTTTTGAATTTGAATCTTGACAATTCTTAGGATTAGACCATGAAAAATTTATCTTTCGTAAATATCCTAATGTTGGCGTGAATAGTCTGTCTTTAACCAGATCGTAGAGAAAATTAGTTAAATTATGCATAAACTAATTCGGACATCCTGACCATTGAACTGAAAAAAAAAATAAAAAATCCTAGCTAGTGTCGAAGAAATCCATCTAATTTAAAAAAAAAAAATTGATATTGGCACCTAAATATCTGTCATTGGGACTTCATGTTATGGCGTACAAATTTATGTTCTTTTTACCCAATTGAAAAGTGGGTATGGGCCCAGAAGCCATGCGGTGCATGGCCCATCATGATAAAAGCGAGTGTACCAGGAAAAGAATGGGCTTACAGGTGGATGCCAGCATGTAACACTACTCAAATCGTACAAGTGTCTGTAAACACCTTTTGTTTGACCATTTAGGACCGCGAAGCTTATCCAAATATTTAAACGACACCACCAACTCTTCTGGACCTATCATTTATAGAGAGCCAAACTCTTCCCTTGTAAAAAATACACCAACAATCTAAATTATTTAGATTAATTTATATTATATTTTAATATTTTAACCACAATTTTTAATCATAGTAATTCAACTCATGTATTAAATTTTTTTTTTTTTATAGAAAATGCAATTTACGCTTAAAATATTAATTTAATTTGTAGATGATCAATGACAACTATTTAGAATCGTAATTAAATCAGTGAAACTAATATTTAAATCAATAACAATAATTAATAAAATTAACAAATTAAGTTAATATTTTTTATCCAAATAACGTTGCTAGTGATTTATTGTATTTTGTTTTTGGTCACCGGTCATTTATTGTAGGTGGATCTATTAATTGTCATTTAATTTTTAAATTTATGTNTAATATTTAAATCAATAACAATAATTAATAAAATTAACAAATTAAGTTAATATTTTTGATCCAAATAACGTTGCTAGTCATTTATTGTATTTTGTTTTTGGTCACCGGTCATTTATTGTAGGTGGATCTATTAATTGTCATTAATTTTTAAATTTATGAAACTTTACTCTTTGTCATTTTGCTAGACTTGTCAGTACGTACGTCGAAATAGAGTCCAGATCCAGACACTGTTTGGCCCACACAATAGAGGGAATCATTAATCAAAATCACTAACACCGATTACAAGTTTATTCCAGAACATCCTACCGGTTAGAGGAGGTTTCTAGGACAAGGAAGATTTCTTTTCCATTTTTTCGTTCTCCAACCTACCTATACACTACATTGATGAAGCCTCCCATCACAAGGGCTTTAGGTTCTTCCCAACATACATCCTCAGCTAAATAACCGCAAACCGGGTTTCAAACACATCAGAAAGTCGGTCATACTGATCCGAGAGTCATGTGTGAAAGGGCTCTCAATCACCTGATTAAAGGTCCAGGAATAACAGGCTGATGATTCACTATTCAATATCGAAGCAAATAGCTAAAGCATCTCTCTTATCATGCTACCGTGCAAGTCATAGCTAGATAAGAACTAAGAAATGATCTAACTTTTTCATTACATTAAGTACGGTGGGACTGAGAACGCCGGCCATTCGCCGAACCGGGTATTTTCCTGTCCGGCCGGCGAGTATTTCATGACTCTCCCAAGTTGGAGAATCAAAGAAAACGACTGAAAAACTAAAAACAGAGAACATCTAGGTTGTGGAAGAACTGATCCAGATCGTTATTTTTAAAAAACGACCCTCAGAATCTTCAATAGTAAAACCATTATTATATATAAGTTAGTAGCTAGCTAGCAGACAAGTTGAAGTTTCTCCCTTTAGAGTTTAGAATGGCATAAACAAACTAATTAATACATGAAGAAGCATAAAACAAAGAGAAGGAGACAATACCTACCTGCAATTGCTTGCGTTTCCTGAGCTTGGAACTTCGGCCACTTGAGCAATCAAAGATATTAGATAGATGATCCAGAGCACCCATGCTTTCTTTCTCACTCCTAACTATGATATCCAAAAGAAGATATAGTGCAAAACAATCACTCTATTCTATCAGTGAATGATTACAAACAAGTATCTCACAAGACTCTTTTCTTGGTACGTAGGTATATAAGCGCAGGGCTTAACGTCTTACTCTTCTATGTACAGTTGATTAGATCCCATTGGGTATATATAATAGTACATACAAATAAAACAAACATCTCCTATACTTTTTCACAATTGCAAGGGACAAGTCCATAGATTTGAAAATAACACAAAAGTGCTTTTTGTATCCAACCCTCTCAACTCTTTTACTTCAATTGTTTAGCCTTTGTTATTATCTTAAGATTTTCTACAGATGATTTTAATATTTATATTAATAAATTAAAATTTTATTTTCTTAATTTGAAAGTAAAAGTACTTGTAATTGATCTTTTATTAGCTTTTGCGATAACTCGTCTCTATTTTTATTTGATTATTGTTATACTATTTATTATATGTCAATTAATTTTCAAAATTTTTAATATATTTGCTTCCTAAATTTTAGTTTAGAGACTTTATTATTCTAATATTTTAGTGATAATATTTGCAAGATAATTTATTGAATAAATTTAATGGATATTCAGCTTATAATTGAAAAAAATTAATTATTAAAATAATAATTAATTATTCTTTTTTATAATGATGATAATTAGTTATAATTTATAATTAGTACAAAATATACATTGTTTTTTTTTTTTGTCTTTTTATGTTGAACAAAATTCATGATACGATTCCATAGAATAATAATATTCAAGGGTATAAAATAAAAAATCTAAAATATTTCGGGGTATAAAGTGAAATTTTCCTAAAATAATTTGAAAATTTTGCATGGATATTTATGCACCGCCTCCTCGAAATTTGAGGGATGATGCCCCATCTCCGACTCGATCTCCAATGCGCTTGTCAGACGGTTGTTGAACTGAAATTTCCTTCTGGTGGGGTCATGGTCCCACCACAATTTCTTGATTGGGCGACAACGGGTCCAGGGCACAACTCAAGGGTGCAGCTGGTGACAGGTTCACCTCAAGTTCTGTTTGTTTGTTCACATGTCTATCATTTGTTAATGTTTGTTAAACTATTTTTAAATTTTTTTTGTTTCTAAAATAATATTTACTTTTTATTTTAAAATTTTCACATTTATCTCATTCCTAGCACATATTTA